TTGACATGACAAGTGTGTGTGTGTGGCTGCTGTGTGTTGGGGGGGCGGGGGTGGTGCGGGGGGGGGGTTGGTCAGGGGGGAGGGTGGTGCATGGGGGCGGCTTGGGGGGGATGGAGGTGGTGGATTCCCCCCGCTTCGCACCAGGCACCACACGAAAAAGACACATCCCAGAAAAGAGCAAAGAACAGCACCACAAAAACTTCCCTGCATGAACCGTGAGCGAAAAACCCACACAACCCCCAACCACTAAAAGAAGAACAACGAACACAGCAAAACTTTAAACTTACACCAAGAACTGAAACCATACCTTGGGGGCACGCAGAGGCATGGTATCCGTATCAGGTTTGCTGTTGTGTGGAATTTGGTTTGGTTTTGCTGTTGCTGCTGTTGTTGCTGCTGCTGCTGCTGCCGCCCTTGTTGTTGTGGTTGTTGTTGTTGTTGCTGCTGCTGCTGTTGTTGTTGCTGGTGTGGTTGTTGTTGTTGTTGTTGTCCTCCTGCTCTGTTGTTTTCTGGGTGTGTGTGTGTTGTCGGCTGCTTTTTTGTTGTTCCTCGGTTTCTGCTTCTGGCGTCCCGCAGAGATATGGGATCGGATTTGTGACATCGTTGCTTATGTTAATGTGTTTCACGCATGTGGCTGCTTGATTTTTTCGATTTTCGGATTTGGTCGATAGCTGAGTATAGTATAATGTGGCCCAAACCGCATAGCCCTCACAAGCTTCTGTAAACACGGCTAAGTTCAAGACATAGTCGGATTCGGGACACATGTCAAGATGCAGCCGGCGCATTTCGGCCTTGACACAAAATTTCTATTGAAGCTTCTTCCAACGCTCCCATTGGAGTTCCTCTTCAAGATCTCGTTGAAGCTTTCTGTTGCTCAGTAAGGCCGCTTCTATTGTGCGTCGAATCTTCTGATGAAGCCCTTATTGCAGCTTCTACAGACGCTTCTATTTAATCGTTGGCTCCCGTCATAGCTGACCGCAATCTCCTTCTCGCGTTCAAGTAATGCTTCTGTTAAAGGTTCGAGTAAACTGCCTGCTAGACTTCCATGACAATGCCTGGAAAATCCTGTAAACACTTCTAGCAGAGTTTCCACGAAGGGCTCTACTAGAGCTTCTGTTGAAGCTTGTTTTGGTAACAGTGATGAGGATGGCGATCCAAATCCCCACGATCCTTGTGACTGTCATTTGACACGCGACTCGCGAAAATGTCAGCGTCCATAAACACATAAGAGACGACCGTGATGATATGCAGTGATGACGGCCACAACAGGCCGCGTCCGCTGAGAGAGTCGGTGATTTCTAAGTCAAGCGGGTTGAACACCACCTTTCTGAGCGTCACGGCACGTTGCGTCCATCGACGGCTATGCACTTCGGCGACATAGACGCTCAAAAACTACCATGTTCTCGAAGATTGCGCACATGGGACAGGCCAATCTGCCAAAGACCATGATTTTCTCTGTGTTCCCGATCACCAGCAGCTTGACCTTGGGATGTGTCAACATGCCAAGACCACGATTTTCCACAGGCTTTCTTTGCGGCGTCTTAAGATCACCAAATGTTTTCACTTTCAAGTTGAAGCCAAAACGCATGATTCGTACCAAAGTTTTGCATCTCGACACGTCCGGATCACGAACAGCTTCACAGTTCGGACATGTCATAGCTCCAAAGCCACTCTTGCAACGCACACAAAAAGAGACCAGCTTGCATACAAACACCAGCCCACTGTTCGCCAGCTTGGCCTCCCGCTTTAAAACTAATCCTAATCTGACGACCTTCCATTGAGGACATATTACAGGCAAATCATCGAAAGTATCACACATCAACCGTGTAGTCCAAGGAAAAACCTTCCTCGATCAATGTTCATCAAGGCAGCATGTAAGGATGCATTGAAAGATTGCAATCCTGGATTGTTGCAAGCCATGGAGTCTATTCAAGATTTGGTTGCTCTGATTGTCGTAACAAGGCGTGCACCAAGTATTCACAATGGGCTCTATCGGCGGTCATCAGCTCAAGACTTCAGAGCTTTCTTGTCAACAGCAGTGATAGTGATTCAAGTTTTCTCAGAGGAGGCGGGCAGATTCAAACTTCTACAGCCAGGATGAGGAAGGGGTTGTCGCCTGCTACCATGAAAACAGGACGTTTCTGTGGGATACCGTATAGCCGATCACATGCTCGCCCCTGCACCAGAACATGAGGTGCAGGAAACACATTTAAGTACGTCAAGTCAAGCGACCTCGATCCAAAGTAGTAGCCGGAATACCTGGATCAAATTTGAAGAGCCCTCATACACCTGCGTATCTTCCGTATGTACCCTTACATGCCCTCCACAGTACCCCGCCGCCCATCAGATTTTAAAGCAGCTGCGAAAGTAATCATGTTATGTCAGATAACAGCATGAAAATGACCACACTGAAAGCACAGAACAAGTGCAAGCACACCCACTCCTTTTTGTAGCACAATGGAGTGTGGCGGCAGTCGAATCTCATCCATTTCACATCTGTGCCTTTGGTCCCTCCACGCTCGGGGCCAAAGGCACCCGTACGCTTCGGGCCATAAAGCGGCCAGATGAAAGAAAAACGGCTGGAGTTGACGCCCCATATGAGACGCCAACACGAGACTGACGCCACCTGCCCATCCGGCACCCTGCACAGGCCATGGGATGGGGCAAGGACTAGAGGAGCAGTGTAGAACCGTAGAGAACAGTATTTAAAAGGGAGAACTGTAAAAGTACTGATTCGACAGACACTTCCATTTCGCTGCAAAAACCTACGAAATTTGGGTGGGTGAGTTCATCAGCCCACGTATTGAAACGCCGCTTCACATGAGACGGTGCCAGTTGTAGTCCTGCTCCGTGGATCTGGAGGATGAGCTCCATGAGGAACAGGGCAGTGTGAAGCTTCCGTGTCTTTTGGTTCAGCATCGAGTAGATGTTACCCTGGTTGTCGGAGACCATGGGGATGCGGAGGTTTGGAACCCCAGTGTCATCCCTCAAAGTGAGGAACTTCGCAAGGAGGAGTGAGCCAAACATTTCAAGTGCGCCAATTCGGCGCTTGGGGTCATCTTTCTCAAAGACCCAGGGGTGCTTCTCCTTGGTGACCTGGTAGTGGAACCAGAAGACCTCGTCCTTCTGCGGGTTGTCCAGGTTGGAGAACCATCCGCCCAGGAAGACAGCGCCACGTCAGAGGCGCTCGCATCACTAGCACCATGCCATGTGGAGATTGGGGCAAAAGGGGAAGCTTGGCAATGTTGACCCTCAAACATGCGCAGCAGCAGAGAGGCAAACAACCGAACAATCATCGGTGGCCTGCCAGAAGACTTGCATGCCTGCTTCCAGGCCCAAAAGGCCTTTTCTTCTGGTAGTGGGGCAAGCAGTGGTCGCCCACTGGACGCGGCCCAGCACACTAGCAATACGAGCTGCAGACATGACCTTACCCTCAGCAAGGTCTTGAAGCGCCTCCATGACCAAAAGGTGTTTGGATTTGGCCATCTGTACAACTGGGCCCACTGGATTGATGACAAAACCTACCCACGTATTGACCTCCGCAAGGAGTGTTTTCTTCCAGCTAAGCGGGACTCCTAGACTCAGTAGAAGAAGGCAGATGCCAACAGCAAACAGGGTGGCATTGTCGGCACGGAGAAGCCAAGCATAGTCATCTACAAAGACAAAGACCAGTCGACCCACGGGAAGACTGCGTACAGGGTGCGAAGGAGGGAGCCGCCTGTCTACCCCAGTACAACTGGGCACTCGCCATGCCGTAACTGCCAACATGTTGACAAACCATTCACCCTGCAGCTCAGCGACTTGGTACTTCCATTCATCTGGTAGTACTTTGATTCTCCTGCGCGCTTTGGTGACGTCCGCCTTGAGGATAACCCACTTGTCGGACTGGGATGGCCACTCCCATTCTGACTTGGAGGACCTTTGGGGAACCCCCACCCACGATTCTTGAAGCCTCTAACCAATGAAGGGCATGGACACAGTCCATGACTGTGGGTGCGGTAGTCTTCTCCTCTGTGTTGGACTGGATGTGTGCATTGGCCCTTTCTCGTGAGCCATCAAAGATCGTGCGGATCTTGCCAGCTCATTGATGCCCGCCATCGATCGGACAGGGCAGAGGTCTGCTGGTCTACAGTTGCAGACTTTAGTGGCATGACCTTCTCATAAGGGAACCTCCAAAGGGTCCCAGCAATCACCTGAGAGCTCGGACTTCAAGGGCCAGACGTCCGGCGATCTGAGAGTGGGTGTTTCCACCCCCAGAGGGACACCTTTGGCAAGAACATCCTGGAAAGCACCCCACACGACAACAGAAGGTGCTTGACGATGTCCAGATAGAAGGGCTGTCCTGCGGCTGTCCATGTCCTGGAAGAATAAAGGACCTAATCTTTTCCTGAGCCTCCTGCAGAAAAGGGTGATGCTTGGAGCCTTCCGACAATGACAGTTGGAAGGCCGGCACGAAGTCCTTAGCAACGTCAAGTATGAAAGAACCTACCGAGGCAAGCCAGAGCTCGGCCTGTGCGATGGTGGGAGCCGTCCTTGGAGACGGCTTTCCACGTCCGTCCCGGATGGGACGTGTCTTGAAGCCGTGCGTTATCCACACGGTCTCCGAAAGAAGATCCAACGTCCTGGAAAGAGGCAGGGTTTGAGGTCTGTCAGGAATTTGTTGGGCAGATCCCTCCTGTCCAGGCGGACGAGGAGGAAACTCCGGGGTTGCAACAGAGGTGCCCTTCCACCCCGGGCCTCTGATGGTGCATCCTGAGCAAACGCGCACACCATTCGGATGTGCAATCGGGGCCTCCGGCACCCGGGGACGCTGTCTTGTACGAGGGCAGTCCCTCCTTCTGGGCTGTTTTGGGCCTCTTGGCACTAACAGACTTTTGCTCAGCCAGGAAAATGGCCTGCGCAGGCCTTTCATCATACTCTCAGGGCAGCGACTGGGGTCTGAGGATAGCTATCCCCTGTCATGGACGCGCGAGCAGCGCAAACCGTCCCAATGAAGCAGTGGCAGGGCGGCAGGGATGTTGCAATGGTAGTGGACTTCTTAGCCACTTGACCCAGCATACACTGGTCAAAATGCACAAGAGAAAGGCCAAGCGACCTAATCCAATCTGTTACAGCTGGGGTCACCCAGATGGAGGAGCACTTGCGATCCAGGAACGATGGAAGGACGGAATCAGTTCCGGACCTGGTCCGATATCCCCACTGGGCAAGAGAGGTGAGCACCATTTGCCGCAGGAGCAGAACACTGTCATTGTCGGTATCCTCTTGGTCGGTTGTGGAATTGGCTTCCAGACCCCAAATGCACTCACCTCTTCTTGGGATCGGCGCCCCCGGCTTGGGGAACCCCCCGCAGGATGCTCCAAGTCCGACAGTTGGGGCCACCCCCCACAAGGGAAACACCAGACATGGCCAGCCTGCACAGACTGCCGCGGGGCTCATCAAGAAGTAGGTCATGAGCAACTTGCACGCCATCCCTTGCGGACGTCGAATGCCCTGACCCGCCTTGTGAGCTTGGGGTCCACTGAGTGAAGGACTGCGTCAAGTGACAAGGCATCGTCCTTGCCTGCGTAGAGCAGAACAATCACACCTGGCGACAGGTCGGAGACATCACAATGATTTTGCCACGTAAGCCTATGGACCAAACGCTCTGGCACGGAGGACCCTGGCAAAGGTGCGATCACTCGGCTGCGGGGTGCGGCCCACAATGTTCGGGCCCCAAAACCAGGCATACAAGGTCCTGCTTGGACGCATCGAATTGGCTAAACTGAGGAAAGGCAACCACACACATGGTCAAGTTGTTGCGAAAGGCCTGGCGCGTGCGATCAAGCAGCCTCCGACTGGACGGCTCCTTTCTCTCTTCTTCCTCTTCCTCTCTCTCCCAACCGTCCACGGTGACCTTGCGGCGGGTACGCAGAGGTCGCTCTTCGAGCTCCGGCAAGGCACTGACGATATGCTTTGTTTGAATGAATCCAATCTGACCTTTCGAACAGAGCGTGAACTGGTGCTTCAACAGCGTATCACTGCCCTGGAACTCTAGGGCTGGCTTCGGAAGGCCTGTGATCCTGGTCCAATCCGCCAGGAGCTGTTGCCTGTCGCAAAGAGCTTCAAGACCCCCGGATGGGCTTGGGGTAGAGCCCGCTGCCGGGGAGAGCCGCATCGAGCTGTGAATGTTCTTGGCCATGTCCTTGGCTGCCCGGACCACTTGTGCCAGTCTCATGGCGGTGAAGCTTGAGGTCTTGGCAGTGTAACCATTCTTGCCATCCTTGAAGTCAAGTTCTCCAGAAGAGTCCTTGCGACACTTGTCTGAGTCTTCCCATCTGTCCGCCACGTCTTCGACGGCGGTCTAACCATCCGTTGCTAGCTGGGCCTGGACAAAGTAGGGTATCTGCCGGTTGGTGCACAGTGAGCACGGTGTTGCGCAACTCCGCCACCTTATCCTTGTATGCATCAGGGATTGCATCAGGGGGCTTAGCAAGTTCATCTCGAGGTGCAGCCATCCTCTGAAGCCAACGGCACCCAGGGAAAAACACGGGTTAGGGCGTGTGGGTTTCAAATTTTGAAGGGCCACAGTCCACAAGCTTGAGCCAAAATGGCAGGGCCATTTTGGCAGCATGTTCCAGACATATGCCTTGCATTCCGCAGGCTACAGCAAGTGAGCAAATGTCAGATAACAGCACGAAAACGACCACACCAAAAGCACAGAACAAGTGCAAGCACACCCACTCCTTTTTGTAGCACAATGGAGTGTGGCGGCAGTCGAGTCTCATCCATTTCGCATCTGTGCCTTTGGTCCCTCCACGCTCGGGGCCAAAGGCACCCGTACGTTTCGGGCCATAAAGTGGCCAGATGGAGAAAAACGGCTGGAGTTGACGCCCCATAGGAGACGCCAACTCCGAAGGAAGGGCGGCACAATCCAGCCAACATCGACGGACGCCGAACTGACTGAGGCCTACGCCATGTCCGAGGAGGCCGTTGCCCCCTGCGGCGCAGCCTTGGAGATTTTAGTGGCAGAGACCTTCTCATCCTCTGACGCGGTGTCTACCGCGTTGTCCATGAGGCTGCCCGAAGAAGCTGAGGAGGAAGAAGAGGCAACTCCCGCAGTCATGGGACCTATTCCCCATGCAGAGGGCAGCGAGAAGATCTTGAAACACCGTGCACAGAGGGGGTGCTTTGTCGCGTCATCATAGTAATCCCGCTCAGTCAGGTCCTGAATCGAGCCTGACTTGGGTTTCCAGCCACATCCCACTGCAACAAACTCCGTGTTGAGGAGATGGACCTTGTACACTCTGTCTTTCTCGGAGGGTTTGGTGGCAAGCCTGTTGGGAAGTCACTGGTAAGGGAGGGTTTGGCTCCCCTCCTGACGCAGTGTCAGTTGCCTCCCCCGTCACTTCTCAAGCCGCCTCAGCCGTACCACTGGGTCCCTCAAGCGCCAAAGGCGTGGAATCCCAGCGGAAGAGACTGGGCTTTCCGGGCCTTCTGCCAAGAGGGCATCGTCAAGTACGAGGACTTTGTCATCCCAATTTGTGGGCCAAATCTTCTCTGACCATGCGGGCACCATCCATCTTGCGTGGGAGAGGCCCTTGGCAAATTTCTCCCAGATGGAGCAAACCACATTGCGCTTCTCCCTGGTGTAGACATCCGCCGTGCTCTCAGTGAGCCAGTTGCCCAGGTACTGACGCATGTCCCGTGGGATGTGGAGCTGAAACGCCCACATCTGGGATGAACACCCGGAAGGAGTGATCAGCTTGAGGAAGAGTTCTTGAAGAACCAAGCCACTTCAGGGCCCTGTCTGGAGGGGAAGGACGCGCAATGAGTCCATGGGGATGAGAAAGTCGATGTCCTTCAAGAAGTCGATGCCTTGAAAACGTCTCCAGAGAGCAAGCACTGGAGACCACCAGTCCAGACCTGTGAAGGCGTGCACTAGCTACTCCCGGTAACCCACCACCATCCCACTAGCACCACCACTAGTGGAGGTAAGCGGTGAAGTCCTTAAGACCCTAGCGGACAGGACCGTTCCTTTTTGCACGGGTGGCCGATCCCTGTATCGCCCCAGGAGATATCTCCCACACTTATCGTGGGCTAT